CACACACACACACACACACACACACACACACACACACACACACACACTCCCTTGTTCTACCCGTGAAGCATTTGTCCGAGGTCACATCACACACAGCAGAGCAGACTCAGACCTAACCTGTGCCTGTCTGAAGCCACAGAGAGGCAGGTTAGGTCCGGGGGCTTTCAGCCCAGCTTGGGGAAACCATGAGTAGCCAGGGCTGCACCAGAGGGAGATGCGGCAGGAGGGGCTGCTGGTGATCAACCCAATCAACCTGGGCTTCACTCACCAGCTCCAGGTGTCTCTCCTTGAACTCCCCTGTGGACAGGGAGCTCACTACCTGCATATCCCCTCCTGGCCATCGCTGCCTTTGTTACACATGGCTCCACTCCCCGCCCACTTTCATCCCACAAAGAGGGATCCTGATGATAATTGCAGAGTTCTAAGCCCTAACTCCAGTCTCTCATTCTTGGCAGAAGCCTCAGGAGTGACTAATTCCTAGCATGTGTCAGGCCTCCTAGGGGGGAAATTCCCAAATTCTTGTTTGTTTAATTGTGAGATGTACTCTGACTCTGTAGCCCTGGCTGAACCGGAACTCACTCTGTAGACCAAGCTGGTCTTGAACTCACAGAGATCTGCCTGCCTCTGCCTCCTTAATGCTGGGCCCTGTCTTTTTTGTTTTGTTTGTTTGTTTTGGTTTTTTTTTTTTTTTTCAAGAAAGGGTCTCTCTATAGCTCTGACTGTTCTAGAACTCACTATGTAGACCAGGCTGGCCTCAGACTCACAGAAATCTGCCTGCTTCTGCCTCCCAAGTGCTGGCCCCTGACTTTTCTAAGCAATAGGTCCCCTGACTCAGGCTGAGCTGTCCCCTGACTCTGTCCTCCTGTCTGTCCACAGGAAGCTGTTTATCATGCTACCATCCAGCATTTAGTGGAGGGCGTCATCTCTGGATACAATGCGACAGTTTTTGCCTATGGCCCCTCAGGTACTGGGTTTGGCATTGTTTCCAGGAGGGTATGGGCATGGTGCCCCCAGAGGTCCCTACCCCTTTCTAGAGATTAAAGTCTCAGGTAGACCCGGCTGACCTTAAACTCACTATGTAGCCAAGGATGATCTTGAACTCCCAATCTTCCTGCCTCCATCTCCCAATTCTGGGATTATAAGTGTGTCACCATGCCTGGTTTATGTGTATTCTAGGTAAGTACTCTACCAACTGAGTCACATCCCCAGCCCTCCCATATACATATATACATACACACACATATATATACATGCATACAAACATATACATACACACACACACACACACACACACACACACACACACACACACTTGGATTGAACCCAGGGCCTCATGCATCCTAGGCTAGTACTCCAGCACTGAGCCTGATTACAGGCACCAGGGACTTTGCCATCCACACCTCTGAGAGGTGAGAATGTTCCCTCCTCACAGAAAGGAGTCAGGAAATGAGATAGTTGTCCCAGAGCACATAGCCATTGGGGTGGAACTTTCCCAAAGCTAATGCTACATTCAACCCCAGCCTGTGTTTTTCTGCTCAAGAGGACCATGAATTTCTTCTCTGAGGTTATGAATAAAGCTCAGTCAGTGTTTGCAAACAGGTAGCATAGGCCTGTCATCCCAGTTCTTGGAGAGACTAAGGCAGCAAGCTCACAAGTTCTAGGCCAGCCTGGGCTATATAATGAGACCTTGTTTCAAATGAATTAGAAAAGGAGAGGAAAAAGAAAGGGCCAAGCATATAGCAAAAATATAGTAATAAGTGCTTGGCTGGTCCAGGATCTACAGAATGAAGCCAGTTCTCTTCTCCAGGGTGAGGACTGGAACCCTGTCTGTGTAGGTGGGAACCTGGCTACTTCATTCATTCATCCATCAGTGATGTGCCAGGTTTAAGGGGAAGGACAACACCATGCTGTCCTTCTTGGAGGCAGTTGGGGAGGGGCCAGTGATGTCCCCTTCTAGAGAACACCCCCTGAAACCATGCAGGGTATCAGGCTTCTTACTGCACAGCACATTTGAGCCCCGCCTTCCTGCAGGTGCTGGGAAGACCCACACCATGCTGGGCATGGACGCGGAGCCTGGCATCTACCTGCAGACCCTCACTGACCTCTTCCAGGCCATCGAGGAGACCCAGGACAACATGGAATATAGTGTGTCTATGTCTTACCTGGAGGTGAGCCAGCTCTTCTTCTGCCTCAGTTGGATCAACTGCAGAATGGGTACAATACTGACTACCTGTGTAGAATTCATCCTAGGGTGTGAGCTCTCCAGCAGCTCAGGCTTCCAATCAGTTCTTTTAAAAATATCTTAGGGGGCTGGAGAGATGGCTCAGCAGGTAGGAGCATCGGCTGCTTTTCCAGAGGACTTGGGTTCAGTTCCCAGCACCCACATGGCAGCTCACAACTGTCTGTAACTCCAGTTCTAGGTGATCCAACATCCTCTTCTGCCCTCTCAGGGCATTGCACGCAAGTGTTGCCCAGATATAGATGCTGGCAAAACACCCATACTAATAAAATAATTAAAAAATAATTTAAGCTAGACATAGTGATGCATGCCTTTAATGTCAGCACTGAGGAGGCAGAGACAGGAGGATCTCTGAGTTTGAGGCCCGTCTGATCCACAGAGTGAGTTCCAGGACAGCTAGGACTATATAGAGAAACCCTGTCTCAAAAAAAAAATATCTTTTTAAAATTTATTTTATGTGTATGGGTGTGTTTTGCCCTGTATTTGTGTCTGTATACCACTTGCTTTCCTGGTAGCCACAGAGGCAAAAAGGGATGTCAGATTCTCTGGAACCGGAGTTACAGATGGTTGAAATCTACTATGTGCGTTCTGGGACTTGAACCCTAGTCCTCTGCAAGAGCAGCCTGTGCTCTCAAGCCCTGAGCCATTTCTCCAGCCTGTCTTTATGATTCTTTGCTGCTTTGTTCCAACCTTTCTGTTCTGCTCTAGATTTATAACGAAGTCATCCGTGACCTCCTGAACCCATCTTCTGGGTTTCTGGAGCTGAGAGAAGATTCTAGAGGCAGCATCCAAATTGCAGGCATCACAGAAGTATCCACCTCAAATGCTCAAGAGGTGAGGGTCACAGCCCAGCCCATAAAGTTCTCCTTGTTCAAGTTTGCTGAGCAGTGACCAGCAGGCTGGTCCAAGCTGAGCTGTTTCCAAGCATCTGGACTTGATCTGAGATCTCAGATCTCTGCAATCAGCTATGCCTCCTTGCTGGTGCTCCAGGCAGACATCACCTATGGATCCTGTCAGCAAGTTTTCCTGCACCAGCTCCCCTTGTCTCCCTCCCTCCCTCCCCTCCTATTCCCCCCTCCCCCGCTTCCCTTCTCCCTGTCTTTGTTTCTTTTTTTTAAAGACAGGGTCTTTCTATGTAGTTCTGGCTGGCCTGGAACTTTCTATTAGACCAGGCTGGCCCACCTGCCTCTGCCTCTGCCCTCTTTTTTTTTTTTTTTTTTTTTTTTTTTTTTGAGACAGGGTTTCTCCATGTAGCTTTGTGCCTTTCCTGGATCTCACTCCGTAGACCAGGCTGGCCTTGAACTCACAGAGATCTGCCTGCCTCTGCCTCAGTTTGTGCAGCAATCCCTTTACTAACGGGGCCATCTCTTTAGCCCTGGATTTTGTTTTTGAGACAAGATTTCACACTGTAGCCTATAGCCTGGGATTCACTATGTAGCCCAGGCTGGGCTTCACTTACAGCAATCCTCCTGCCTCAGCCTCTCAAATGTTAGATATGAACTACCGTGGTCTGAATGACAGTGAGCATCTCAGCTTCCCCTACTCTTGCTCCATACACTGCAGTCCTAGCCCTGGTCCCTACACAGCAGGGCCTCAGCAGAGGGTGGCTGTTCTAGTTCTGTAGCTGTTTGTGTGGTAGAGGGGTTCCCTCCCATTGCCAACCCCAACAGCTCTGCAGCTGCCTGGAGTTGGGACTTGAAAAGGTCAGGGCTGCTCTAGGCTCTGTGGAGAAGGGCTGAGTTGGGCCAGGGATGTGGCTCAGTTGGTGTAGTGCTTGCCTAGCATGCATGAATGCGTGGGTTCTATCCCCAGTACTGTATAAACTGGGCATGGAAGCACACATTTGCAATCCCAGCATTCAGAAGTTGGAGGCAGGAGGATTAGAAATTCAAGGTCATCCCTAATTACATAGTGAGTTTGTGTTAACCTAGATGATATGTCTTAGTTGGGGTTTCTGTTGCTGTGATGAAACACCATGACCAAAAGACAAGTTGGAAAGGTAAGGGTTTATTTGACCTATGGTTCCATATCACTGTTTTTCATTGAAGGAAGTCAGGACTGGAACTCTTAACAGGGCAGGAACCTGATGCAGATTCTAGGGAAGGGTTCTGCTTGTTGGCTTGCTCTTCATGACATGCTCAGCCTGCTTTTTTCCCCCCCTTGGTTTTTCAAGACAGGGTTTCTCTGTGCAGTTTTGGTGCCAGTCCTGGATCTTGCTATGTAGACCAAGCTGGCCTCAAACTAGCAAGGATCCACCTGGCTCTGCCTCCCGAGTGCTGGGATTAAAGGCGTGCACCACCACCGCCCGGCTTATTTTATGGAAGCATTTTCTTAGATATTTTCAGATAGTGCTAGCTTATGTCAAGTTGACATAAGACTAGCCACCACAGTAAGACTTTTGTCTTAAAAAAAAAAAAAAAAAAAAAGGAAAAAAAGAGATAGGTAATCCATTAGTGATGTCTGTCATTAGTGATGTCTGTACTGGTAGAGAAAGGGCAGATTGGGTGCACATCAAGAATCTTCAATTCTACTAGTTGATTTAGCTAACTAATCACTTCATGCTACAAATCAGAAATTGCTGCTATAAGAGTCCCAGCCCCAGAGCCACCCTTTCCCTTTCTCTTGGGTCTTTCTAGAGTGACTATGTGGCCACTCAGGTCTATGACTTGCCTTTTTCTCCCTCTGCCCTCAGATCATGCAGCTACTAACCAAAGGCAACCGGCAGCGTACCCAGGAGCCCACAGCTACCAACAAGACTTCATCCCGCTCCCATGCTGTACTGCAGGTCACTGTGCACCAGAAAAGCCGAGGTGGCGACCTGGCAGAGGAAGTGCGCCTCGGGAGGCTCTTCATGGTGGACCTGGCAGGCGCAGAGCGTGCAGCCCAGGTACTGCCCCTCTGAGGTGCACCCACTTTCAGATGTCATGACTGTCTTTCAACTTGCGGTCTGTCGTCCTCAATCTTAGTGGGACCTTACCTGTCCTTGTTTAGATGGGCTTTGGTACCCAGAACAGTGTTGGGCCCAGAAGAGGTAGCTGAGTCTTAGGTAATGAATCCTGCAAGCATTTAGTAAGGAAGGAGCCAATGCTTCTAGAGGGTTTCCCCTGTGGCAGGCAGCTCATCCTGCACCTACTGAAGGTGTCCCATTTGCTGCGTGGGCTCATCTTGGGCCTGGGAAGCTCCACGTGTTGGGGTGGCACGTGTAATCAGCAGTATCCAGGGAGGCCTGTGCTTTCACAGCCTACAGAGCCTGTGGCAGGAATCTTAGCCATGTTGAGCCCAGACATGTCCTGAGGAGTTGGATTAGAGTGCAAGGAAAAGCATTTGGAGTTCCGCACTAGGGCAGATAGGTAGGTGCACAGGGACCATGGAAGGAAAGGCTGTGTTACCACAGCCCCTTTCCAGCTTGTGGGTCCCTTGGTTTTGCTCCTGTGCTTCCTGGATGCTACCCTGTGGCCCAGGCATTCCTTCAGGCCAGAGACCCAGCTCAGGGCTGGGCTAGGAGTTGATTTAGGCCTTTGCAGGCCCAGTGTTACCAGCAGGCGGCATTTCCCTGCCCCTCCTGTACACACACCAGGCAATGATGCTTGTAATCCCCGTAGCCATAGCCCTCCCTGGCCAAGTTCAAGCTTGGCACTGTCCCTGCTTCACCATACAGACTTGGAGGCGGCCACAGTGGTGCATGCCTGTCGTCCCAGCGCTTGAGAGGCTGAGGGAGGAGGACCATGAGTTTCAGGCTAGCCTGGACGATAGAGCAAGACTCTGTCTGAAAACAGAAAGAAGGGGCTGGGGTGTACCTCAGTTGGTGGAGTGCTTGCCTAGTACGCATGAAGTCCCAGGTTCCATCTTCAGCACTGTGTAAAACATGTCTGGTCGTGCATGTAGATAACCCCAGCACATGGCAGTAAGTAGGTATGTAATCCAGAGGTGGACGCAGGAGAATCAGAAGTTCAGGGCCATCCTCCACTACATAGTGAGTTCAAGGCCGACAACATTCAATCCAGTCTGTGTGTCCATGAACCACTTGTGTATGAGTACCTTGAAGGCCAGAAGAGGGTGTCTGAGTCTCTGGAGCTAGAGTGACAGGTGGTTGTGAGTCACCCTGTGGCTGCTGGGCTCAGCTGTGTTTGCTGGCTTCTGCACACATCTTCACCCCCTCATTTAGCTCATGCCATTGAACACTCACGATGGCCGGCTGCCTGCAGGTGTCCAGATGCATGGCCCACAGGGACAGCTGTGACTTCCCAGAGCTTGCGTCCTATGGGGCAGCAGATGAAACAGCCCTGATCATGTGTGGAGGCAGGTGACTGCTACAGAGTCTGTGCTTTAGAGGAAATGAGTGGGGCTGTGTTGGAAAGATCAGGTGCTGGGGCCGTGGACTCTCAGAGAGTCAGCAGGGGACCTGTGGGGTGTAGGGTAAGGGTTGGAGGTGGGGTACTTCCTAGGCAAAACCCACTCACTTGCATTTTGTTATAAGGAGTGTTGTCTAGGCTCCGTCTGTTGATTTCAGTTATCTTTCCTATGTCAATCAGCTCTATAGCTCCTGAGAATAGATGCTTAATACTCTACTAGTGATGTTCTGTCAAGGGGTCTCCAGTCCTTCGGACTTACGACCCTCAGTACCAGAGCAGGCAGGGCCCTTCCCCATGCCCCTGGACTTGGCTCCCCTCCCTGGGAATGGGGAAGGGAAGATGCCAGTAGGAAGGGACTCAGTCCGTGTTCAGCCTGGCCTCTCTGCTCAGACTCAGAACCGAGGCAAGAGAATGAAGGAGGGCGCACACATCAACCGCTCCCTGCTGGCCCTGGGCAACTGCATCAATGCACTCAGCGAGAAGGGCGGCAGCCGCGCTCAGTACGTGAACTTCCGCGACAGCAAGCTCACGCGCCTGCTGAAGGTAGGTGCGGGTGGGAAGGGCCACCACAGCGGACAGTGCCTTCCAGGAATCAGCTGCCAGCACAGAGGCTGAGAGCCCTGAACACGTCACTCTGTACAAGTCTGAGTATGTGGCCACTGCCTGACCTCCCATCACCCTCCTGAGTGTGGTCTATCCTTGCTCACATGCCCCTAGTAACAGGGAGCTCACTACTTCCCAAGGCACCAATCCCATCATGGGTAGCTGTAACCTGCGAAAACTTTTCTTTATACTGAGCTTGATGCTGCCTAGATAAATAAATAAGCAAGCAGTAAATAAATGTCCCCACATCTGCCCTCTTGGTCTAACCTGCTCTCATCAAAGCAGCAGTTGGATGGGGGTACCTGGAGTAGGCACCACTTACCCCGTGAATCTCCTCCTCAGGCACTAGCCTCACTCTGGTCCCAGCATCAGCTGCCTTTTTCCAGACCTCTGATGGTCCTGGGGGAGGGCTGGGGCCACTGGTGAGGCGGGGATCCCATGGCTCCCATCAACCCAATTCTGTGGTTCTCACTGAGCAGGATGCCCTGGGAGGCAACAGCCGCACAGTGATGATTGCTCACATCAGCCCGGCCAGCACAAGTTTTGAGGAGTCAAGAACCACACTGCTCTATGCCTACAGGGCAAAGAATATCAAGACAAGGGTAAGTGAGTGGGAAGGATAGCCAACTTCAGTACCTAGACCCACATTAAAAAAAAGCCAGAGCCAGGCAGTGGTGGTGCACGCCTTTAATCCCAGCACTCTGGAGGCAGAGCCAGGTGGATCTCTGTGAGTTCGAGGCCAGCCTGGTCTGCAGAGCGAGATCCAGGACAGGCACCAAAACTACACAGAGAACCCCTGTCTCAAAACTGCCCCTCCCCCCAAAAAAGCCAGATGTGGCAACATGCATCTATGATTCTTGTGCTAGAAAGGACACAGACAGATCTCTGTGGCTGGCCTAGCTTCTTTGTCAAGCTCCAGGCCATCACCTCAAAAGAACAAGGTGAGCTGGGCATCATACTGCAGGCCTTTAAAGTCAGCATTTGGGAGGCAAGTGGATCACTGTGAGTTCAAGGCCAGCCTGATCTACATTAGGAAGACTCAGGCCAGCCAGGGATACACGGTGAAACTCAAAATTAATTAACTAATTAAAATTTAAAAACAAGGCAGATGGAGCCTGAAGAAGGACACCTGAAGTTGATTTCTGACCTGTACACACACGAGTGCATACATGTACACCCACATGAACATGGATCCCCCCAACACTCACACACACGCACAATCAGTGGTAGCAATAGTTACTGGTGGGGAGATTTCTAAAAAAAAAAAAAAAAATCCTGATGGGTTATTTGAAATTTTTTATTATAGTAAAATATACATGGAACAAATATTTTCATTTCAGTTTTTTGAGACAGGGTTTTTCTCTGTAACCCTGGCTGTCCCGGAACTTGTTCTATAGACCAGGTTGCCCTCGAACTCAGACTGCCTCTGCCTCCCAAGTGTTGGGATTAAAGGCATGTACCACGGCCGCCAGGCTTCATTTAGTAATTTCTTTATTCCATGTTTATTTGGTATGCGCATATATGCTTGTCCTGGCAAGCATATGGCTGTCAGAGGACAACTTGTGGGAGTTAGCTCTTCTTCCACCATGTAGGTTCTGGGCCGACAGCCTTGGTGGCCATCACCTTTACCAACTGAAGCACCCCTATGGCCACCCAAATCTCAATTTTAATCACTGTGAGTCCGCGGCATGGTAGCCTTGGTGTAGTCACCCTGTGGTGCGACCAGAACTATTGTCTCCCTTTAGAACTTACACACCTCACCAAACCTCAGCTCAGTCTCCATTAAATGTGCTCCATTCAAGACTCCCAGCCCCTCCCCAGGCCCCGGCTCTCCCACTCTGCTTTCCCAGAATCTGATTGCTCAGGAGGCTGCATGGAAACCAGTCATGCAGGAGTCTTCTTCTGTGTCTGGCTGAATGCACTGAGCCCAGGGTTCTCAACGCTCCTCTGTGCTGTGGCCAGCGTCAAGAGACCCTTTCCTCTTCTGAGGATGAACAGCACTGACATGTGTCCAACCTGCCCGGCCACGGGCCACACACATCCCAGCATGGGGCCCAACACATTCATAGACAGCATGATGTAGCCATGACGTTGGGTCCCCCCATCCCTGTGTTCTCATTCCATTCCTGCTGCGGTGGTAAGATACCCAGACACAAGCAATCCCAAAATGAGAAATGACTCATAACTCCAGTTCACCACTGGGGGAGAATCAAGACAAAGAGAGGAGCTAATGCTTGCTTGCTTGCTTATGCTCTTGCTTGCTTATGCTCTGCTCCATTCTCATGTAGTTCAGGACTATCTCCCTCCCCACATATGTAGGGAATGATGCTGCCCATGTGGGTATCATCAATTCACTTTTAAGATAATCCCCCTCAGACATGCCCATAACCCAGCCCAATGTAGATAATTCCTCTTTGAGTCTCTCTTCCCAGGGTGATTGCAAGTTGTGTCCAGTTGACAAAGCCAATCACCACACCCACCATGTCATCTCTCGAGCCTGCCCTTCAGGACACTTCTCACCATGCCTGACCTTAGGTACTTGTCCTCACCATCAGGTCAAGCGCAATCTGCTGAACGTCTCCTACCGCATTGCACAGTACACTGACGTCATCTCTGACCTGCGCAGGGAAATTGAGCACCTCAAGTCAAAGATTGAGAAGCAGGATAAGGAGAAGAAAAGTGACCCCAACGTCCTGGATATACAAGGTAGTGCCAAGTGCAGGCCTGTGTTTCCAGAGAGCCCTGATGGCTCAGTACCCTCTCTCTGCTGGTGCTCTGTGCCCAACATCCAGGTTTCATGGGCCTATTGCTTCTCCTGGCCCAAGTGCCGGGCCGTGGCCATTCTGATTATTTACACTCAGAGTGACCAACTGATCCTGTCAAGGGCTATTGTTCTTGCTTCCCTGGGAGCCTCAGGCTGGTTCTAGTTTCTAGCCTACAAGATATGAGGACTAGACTATTTTATGGGTTTTTGTTTTGTTTTGTTTTGTTTTTGAGACAGGGTCTCATTGTGTAGCTCTGGCTGTCCTAGAACTTACTCTGTAGACCAGGCTGGCCTTGAACTCACAGTGATCTGCCTGCTTCCATATCCCAAGTGCTGGGATTAAAGGCATGCACCACTGTATCTGGCTTGTGTTTGTTTGTTTGTTTTTAATTTCATTTTCTTTCTATTTTGGTGTGTGTGTGTGTGTGTGTATGTGTGTGTGTGTGTGTGTGTGCACACCTGTATGCTTCTGCATGTGGAGGTCAAAGGTCAGTGTTAAGTATCTTCCTCACTCTCTACCTTTTTTAGTTTAGGGAGAAAACTATTATAGATTCCTAGGTAGGGGCTTGAGATTTAGGCAGGGTGGTTAGCCCATGTGGCTGACATTCAGCTGCCTAGTATGAGGGAGGGGACCTTTCAAAAAATAATAAGGAAGCCAGAGCACCAGAAAAGGCATCTCAGGCTGTGCAGTCTCGGAAAGAAAAGACAGAAGGAGAGAAAGAAGAGCAGTCAGACCTCGCTGAGTCAAGACTCAGAACAGCAGGCGGGCCCAGCAGAACCTCAGAGTGCCTCATAGGGACTGCCTTCTTTTAATTTTGCTTTTTGTTTTTGAGACAAGGTCCTCTATGTAGCCTTGGCTGTTCTGGAACTCACTGTGTAGACCAGGCTAGCTTTGAACTCACAGAAATCCTCCTGCCTCTGCCTCCTGAGTGATAGAATTAAAGGAGTGTGCCCTGCCCTCTGCATCTGGCTTTTATTTTTAAATTGACTTTAAACTTTTTATTTATGTTATGTGTATGGGTGTTCTATCTGCACGTATGTCTGTGCCCCACATGTATGCAGTGCCCAAGGAGGCCAGAGAGGGTGTAGTTACAGATAGTTGCCAGCCACCACATGGGTGCTGGGAGTCAAACCTGGGTCCTCTGAAGAATAGCCAGTGCTCTTAAATGTGAAGACATCTCTCGGGCCCCGATACTAATTTTTGAGACAGGGTCTCTCTCTAGACTTGGGACTTAGAAATTAGGCTATGCTGGCTGGCCAGTTGCCCTAGGGACCCACTTATCTTTACCTCTCCCATGCTTCAGCACTAGGGTTATAAATGGGTGCTATCACACCTGGCTTTGGGGACTGAATTCAGGTTATAGAGAACTTGAGACCAGCCAGGGAGACAAGTCTCTCTCTCTCTCTCTCTCTCTCTCTCTCTCCCCTCTCTCTCTTAAAAAAAAAAGAAGGAGGAAAGAAAAGAAAGATAAACCTGCAAAACTTGCAGAAACAGATTCTAAGGACGCCCGTGTGGAGCTGGGAGGTGACCCAGTCACTCCCTGCCATGCAGGCATGAGGACCTGTTAGGATCCTCAGCACCCACAGAAAAGCCAGGTGCAGCAGGCTGGGTGGTGGTGCACACCTTTAATCCCAGCACTCGGGACACAGAAGCAGGTGGATCTCTGTGAGTTAGAATACAGCCTAGCCTACGAGGTGAGTTCCAGGACAGCCAGGGCTGCTACCCAAAGAAACCCTATCTCGAAAAACAGAACAAAACAAAAAGCCAAGCAGCACTGGGTGTCTCTAACCCCAGCACTGGGTAAGGGAAGGGTCTGGAGGATTCCTGGAGCTCGATGGCCATCTAGTCTGGCCAGTTGAGGAGCTACAGGATAAGTGAGAGACACTGTATCAAAGCATAAGGTAGGGAGAGACTCCAAAAGACACCCAACATTGACCTCTAGTCTGGCATGGGCACATGTGACTGCATGCATGCACACACAGACCCATGTCAACATGCACACAGCATATACACATATAACCCTCCACCCCCAAAGGACATAGGTACCAAAGTCAAGTCCATTAGACATATGCACACATACCACACACAAGAGGTTTATAAAGATAAGTTTTGCTGTAATTTCCAGAGGACTTCTAAAATCAATAAAAAAAAAAAAAAGCAAGCAGCCCAATGATTAAGAGGGGCAAGACATTTAATAGACAATTCACAGAAGATTTATTTTTATTTGTGTGTGTGTGTGTGTGTGTGTGTGTGTGTGTGTGTGTGTGTGTGTGTGTAGGTCAGAGGACACAGGACACTTGCAGGAATTGGCTCACTTCTTCTACCATGTGGGTCCTGGGGATTGAACTTACGTTGTTAGGCTTGGCTGCAACTACCCTTACCCACTGAGCCATCTTGCCAGCCATATAGAGTTCTTAGCAGCAGTAAACATATTGAAAAGTCTCAAATACTTTAGGAAACAGGTGTACACTGAAATAGCTTTCACTTCTGGGCCAGCTAAAAAGTAAAGTGCTGGGGAATGTGAAATGGGTATCAAGTGGGTAATATATCAATTAGACAAAAATTAAGGTTTTTAAAGAGAAGTGAGACCATGATGTATACCCATCTGTCATGCTTCCACCTATCCATCTATGTGCCACCCATCCACATGCCTTTTCTCTATCCATTCATCCACCCACCCATCTCCCCATCTATCCATTCACCCACCCACATCCCCATCTATCCATCCACCCACCCATCTCCCCATCTATCCATCCACCTACCCATCTCCCCATCTCCCCATCACCCACCCTTCTCCCCATCCATCTGTCCACCCAAATACAAGTTCATCCACTCACCCATCTCCCCATCTATCCATCCACCCACCCATCTCTCCATATATACATCCACCCTCGTATATATCCCTCCATCTATTCATCTATCCACTCACACATCCCTTTATCCACCCACCTATCTCCCCATCCATCCATCCATCTGTCCACCCAAATACACATTCATCTACCCACCCATCCCTCATTCATTCATCCCTCTGCCCTCTTATCTATCCATCCATCTACACTTCCATGCATCCATTCGCCCACATATCATCCATCCATCCATCCATCCATGTATACATACATTCATATACATATCTACTCAGCTACTCACCTACCTACTCATCCATCCATCCATCTACACATCCATTTGTCCACACCAAAAGCCATCCATTTATCAATTTATGCACCATCAATTACCTACCCATTCATCCACCCACACATCTACACATCCTCTCACCCACACACCCACCCATCCTCCATACATCCACACATGTCCATGGGCCATGGCTCATCTTAGTGAGTGAGCATGGAGTTCAGCCCAGCCAGCTCTCTTCCCTCCAGCAGTCACCATCCCCCATGATGCAGAGGAGGACAGTCGTCTACAGATGAACAAGATCCGGGCACAGCTTATCGGGGCTTTCAAGGAGCAGATGGAGATGCGGCGCAGCTTGGTGGAGCTGGAGAATACCAACATTGAGCTGCACATAGACATGTCTCGCCACCTACTGACCATTGCAGAGTGAGTGCCCTGCTGCTGGGCATAGCACATCTCCTAAGGGAAGGGGAGCCAAGAAACAGAGGGGCCGCTGGTTGCTACCATCCACAGGTCCCCAAGAAAGCAGGCCCTGTCTCTGTTCCTCTCCTATTATGACCCTATTGGTAAGCTGGGCCAAGCGGGAGACATTTCTGGATCTCTTGGACCTCTTATGGCTGGGGTCCAGAGCCGACCCGGAGGGTCAGTAAATATTAAGTCTCTCTCCCATGGTCCACTTACCCATGTGCCCCTGATCTGAAGGCAGAGTGACCCTGTGCAGAGACTAGCTGGGATGCCCACTATCCACACCAGTCGTCTTGAGGCGAAAGGGACTCCAGTAATCGTTACACTGGGACAGTGAGTGTCCCTCCAACTGCCCTGCAGAGACCCGGACACATGGCCACCCCCTCCGGGTGATTGCAGACAGCACCGTCACACTCAGACCCATTGCTTCTTTTCACTCTCTGCTCTTGCTTCACCCCACAACTCCCCCCATCTTCCCCTCCCCTCCCCTCCCCTCCCTCCCTCTGTCTTTCTCCTTCCCGTCACCCTCGTTGTTTGGAATAGGGTCTTGCTATAGAACTCAGGCTGGCCTGGAACTTGTGACCTTCCTGCTTCCATCTCCCAGGTGCTGGAGTGACAACTGTAAGTCACCTCCCTTTGTCGTGGTCACCGCCATCATCGTCCTCACCTTCCTCCTCTCTGTTCAGTTACAAAAACCAAAAACCAATTCAGTCACGGTGTCTTGCCCCTGGCCAGGCATCTGCTTGCCGAGGCTTCCTCATTTTTCCTTCCTTTTCTGCTCTGTTTCCACGGGTCCTGTTTAGGCTCGATGTGTTACCCTTGTTGGCAGAGCCCAGCCAGTGTCCTAGTGTCCCTGGTCACACAGCTGTCCCCTGAGGACAGCAAGGATCAGAGAGGCGTGTTTCCACAAGAGGGAGCCATGGCTGGCTCTGTGGGTCAGGGGTGGATACACATGTGGATAAGATCATGGGGGAGACCCCATTGCTCTCCATTGTTTTCCCATGCCTGTGAGGAGACTAGCAGGCCTGGAGAGCTCTGGGTGTGAGGTGTGGAACCCTCAGCTCAGGCGCGACTGGCCCCTGATACTGTGTCCTGGCTGCAGCTGGGAGCGAGAGAAGACCCACCACCAAGCAAACACGGACAATGGTGAGAAGGAAGAGGAGCCCGCGGATGCTGACGGAGAGGAGGCTGAGGCTTCCGAGCCCCCGGAGGTGGCTCTGGCCAGAGAGGAGGTGAACCTGCTCTTGGCTGAACAGCGGAAAACGGCAGCCCTCAAGGTGAGGGAGAGGGATGTTCAGTCATGGGCATGGTGCTGATTGTCTGAGCCTGGCAACCCTTGAGAATACCTGCCCATCCCATGAAACACAGCTAGCCATGTGGTCCCAGTCACCCGAGTCTCAGACTCAGAGACACTGTCGAGGGTTGGGACGTAGCTCGGTTAGTAGAGGTTTGCTTAGCAAGCACAAGGCCCAGGGTTCCATCCCCAGCAACAAGTGTGTAATCTAGCACTCAGGGAGTAGAGGCAGGAGGATCAGAAGTTCAAGGTCAGCCTTGGTCAGCCTTGATGCATGAGACATTGTCTTTGAAAGAAAAGCTAGGCAGTGGTGGTGCACGCCTTTAATCCCAGCTCTTGGAGGGCAGAAGCAGGCAGATCTCCAAGTTGGAGGTCAGCCTCGTCTACAAAGCAAGTTCCAGGACAGCCAGCAATACACAGAGAAACCTGTCTCAAAAAAAAAAGGGGGGGGGCTTTTAAAAAAATGAGTTGGTTATGTAATAGCTGGCTAGTGAGCACACTAGGTTTAGGAAAATTACATATGTCTTGCTTGGGGCTGGAGAGATGGCTCAGAGGTTAAGAGCACTGCTTGCTCTTCCAAAGGTCCTGAGTTCAATTCCCAGCAACCACATGGTGGCTCACAACCATCTGTAATGAGATCTGGTGCCTTCTTCTGGCCTGTGGGGATACATGCAGATAGAACAATGTATACATAATAAATAAATAAATCTTAAAAAAAATGTCTTGCTTGAGGAAAGCTTTAGGAAAAGGCCAGTGATGCCAGAGCTGGGTGGCTTGTTATCTAAATGCTGACAGGTGTGTCCTCAGAAAGCAGGCAAAGTGTCTAATTCTCTTAAAAGGTCAGACTGTTAAAAGCAGGAATCGTCTAATTCTCTTAAAAGTTATGTGACCTTCATGTCACTACACCTGCCCACTGTAGTGTAGGCTCTGCCCCCACACTTCAAATGAATGATTAGATTCTCCACAGCTTTTAAAAATGAGAAAGATGGAGGCCGTGAGCCTCCGGGACAAATTCAGATATCAACAAGTGATAGGATCTGCAGTGTGAGTGTCAGTCAGGACCCTGCAGTGTGTCAGTCAGGAGTCTGCAGTGTGAGTGTCAGTCAGGAGTCTACAGTGTGTCAGTCAGG